GCGATGTTTTCGTCGCGCTGTGATGACGTCACGTACGCGCTTTCGGCGAGCGCGATTTTGTCGTCCGCGGTTTTGTGGTGGAACCGAAAATTCTGTTGAACGTAATGAAGGCCAGGAGAATAAGGAAATGCAGCACTTCAGATCCAAAGCAGGAAAAAACGAAGTACGAAGAACATGCCTCTCTACTGCAAGACATCTTACCTCATCTTGTCAACAATGCCTTACCTAAATTGTGCAATTTCCTGAGACTTTATCACTCCAATCTGTGACTGACACCCTCCCACACCCAGGAGGAGAAGCTTTTTGAAGTTTTCCAACTGCTGAAATATGCAAGCCCGCCTTTTTCTGCTTTGGATTTGAAGCACTGCATATCCCTAGCTAACAGCAAAGCAGTCAGCATGCACGGGAAAGATGGTCACTGCTGCAAGGGAAGACTTGTTCTATGTCCTAGCACTCCTCCATCCTTCCCCTTCGTGTCCTTGTTCTTACTGTTGAGGAGGAATTGCTGCAGGCGAGAGAAACCGCTTTGGGTCCCCAACAAGACGCTGACAAGGATCCAGGTCAGCCCTGCTGTCAAGACAATCACGACAACACGGAGAGGACCTGAAACAATTAGGAAAAATGGAGTCAGGTCAAAGCAAAGCCGAAAAAAGAAACCCTGGAGGAAGACTGAATCCAACTGCTACACTACAGTGTCATCCAGTAGTGGCTACAATTTTCCCCAACATATCCCAGAAGCATAAATGCTCTAAAGGGCTACTGGATGTCAGTGGCTAAAAGCTATTATTTTCCTGTCTGAAGGGCTGCCTTTGGCTGTCACTTTTCTCTCCCATCCAGAGCTCACCTGCTAGTCTCATGGCCCCTTGAGAGTGTCCAGAACCAGTGGAAATCCAATGCTATTAGGCTCCTGAGGTAGCAGAATGGGTGAGGGAGTCTGAGGTGGGTTAGTCACATGTACCCTTCAAACTACAGAGATCAGAAATGGCAGTCAGAATCAACCCAAGGAAGATAAAACTCCTGCATGACCCCCAATGCTCAGGACAAATGTCCATTGAGTTCTACACTAATAAGCACACATATAAAAATATAACCTTCATAACATACAGACCAGTGGTGGGATTCAAATAATTTAACAACCGGTTCTCTGCCCTAATGACCAGCTGGGTAGGTGGGGCTCGGTGGTCATGTGACCGGGTGGGCGTGGCCAACTCAATGTCACTCAGGTCAATGGGTGCTTCGCCTTAGCTGTGACAATGCAATAAGGGTTAACCGAAGAGGCCGTTTCTGTAAGCAGGGCAATAAAGATGAGGCTAGAAACCACA